ATCAGTAGTGTGGATGTTAGTGATTGGTCCAATCATCCTGTTCCTGAACAATTGAAGGGTATAAGAACCCTGTGTAAAGGCACATTCAGGGCACCCCAGTTAGGCTGGGACGTGGCACGCACATGAAAAAATATTTTCACTTGGTATCAAAGCTCCCCAGGCTGGCAGAAGCAGCGGGGGAGGTGGAGCCATTTCCCACGGCAAGGGGGAGCCTTTCCTGAGCCCCATTAGCTGGGTGGGAGAGGAGTGCACCTCAGGTCTGTTGTGAGGATGAGCGATGTAGGGTGCACGAGCATCCTCTGCCTTCCCCACTAAGGGGCCTGCGATGGATGGGGCAAACAAGCTCGTAGTAACTGGGGGGGGGGGTGTCAGGGACCTTCCCGAGTCCCTGCCGCCAGAGGGAGTGTCCAAAGGGGATGATGTCTCTCCTACACGAGCGCAAGGATCCCTTTTCATCCCTTCCCACAAGTGTCTCACCTGGCAGAAGGCTTCTTCCCTGGGTCTTGCTGCCTGGTGCCTGGCCCCTGCTTTGGCAGCACAGGGAGGGAAAACTTCACCTGGGTCTGCGGCAGCTTGCCAGGACGCCCGTCGTCTGCACCTGGGAGGAAGCTCTTCAGAGAAGCCCCCTGGGGAGTGCGTTTTAACTGGGCAGTGGCCACCCCTGCACAGCAGGAACCTGTTCTCATCCTTCTTCTGAGCCTCTGCTTTTCTGCAGCCTTCTTGTGCCAGGTGGAGAAATCCTTGTCCACTGCTCTGCTGGTAACAGTGAAGTGAAACCTGGAAAGGAAATGATGACACAGGCTTAAAGGAGGGGGACTCCTCCCTTCTGCAGCTTCCCAGCTCTGATCCTCCTGACCATCGCGCGAGGCAGGGCATCCTTTTCCCTTTGTGGCCACGCGCAGATTTGACTGGCAATCTCCCACCACCACCAGAAAACGTAGCTTAAGCCCTGTGCCGTCGGTCCTCTCTGATGTAAATGATGTCAGGCTGGGCACAAGGCTGTAGAGGAGGTGGAGTGAGCTGGGCAGTCAGTGCAGCACCAGCTCCAGGATTTCAGCATGGGAGCCCCAGCCAGTGATGCCCACTCACTGCCCAGGTGTGAGCTGAGTATTCAGTGCTCAGGCAGTCCCTACCTGGCCCCCCAGGGCAGCCATGGCTCCTTTCCTTCCCAGGGCTAAATCCAGCTCGCCAGCAGTGACGCCAGTGCTGGGACAGTGACGGTGATGCCAGTACCGGGGCAGTGATGGAGGCCTCCATCCTCCTGGCATTGGAGCTAATCAACATGGTTTCTCCCACAGGCACCCACCACCTGGAGCGATGCCCCATGTACCCATCTTCTCAGTGGCTGTCCCCAGCCCAGCTCAGCCACCCATGGGGAGGGCAGGGGCTGCATTAACCCCACACACCCCCTCTCCCACTGTGCAAATAAGCACAGGCAGAGAGAGGCACTGCAAAGCGAACACCCAACTCTTTTAATGAATTAAGCAAGGAACAGGGATCTGGAAGAGGGCTGGGGCTGGAGCAGGTATATGTCTTTGCCTCCGAATCTCCTCTGCGGTGGGTGCTATGGGGGACAGGGCTGGACTGGTGGCTAACGGGTAGCTGTACTCATTGGCTAGCTCTATGTCTGTCTCCCTCTGCACAAACACAAAAAACCTGCAGATGGCCCAGTGACATCTGCAGGGCCACCTGCTCCTGCTCCTCCTAGGCAGCTTCTTCATGTGCTCCCACTTGGGCCACTGCTTGGGTGGGATGGGCACCAACTCCTCCGGCTCCTCCAGCGGGGTGGGCACAGGCATGAGGCCCCCGCAGTGCCCAAGGGGTAGCACTGAGTCAGTGGGAGAGGTTTGCCCCCTCCCATAGCCTTGCTGCTCAGTGCCACTGCCAACCCCTTTCTTGCCATCAGTCTGGGGCTCGGAGGCAGCCAGCTCCGCCCTGGGTCTTGGGGCCACCAGCTGGGGACTGGGGACCCTGGGGGACACACTGGGACTGGCCAACACACCACCATCTTCTTTGGTGGGATGTTATCCCACAAGGAGGCCTCTTGCATCTTGAGGGTGCCCGATCTGGGCATCACCCAGCAGAAGACACCTGGAAGCAGCAGCAAGTGGGTCAAAACTACCCTGTGCTGCTTCAGCAGCGCGTCCTTAACCAGTTGGGCCCTGCGGGGCAGATGACGCTGGGGGCAGTTGGGGTCTGGCCAGGGATCTGCAGGGGAAGCAGTAGGGGACTCTCCAGAAGACCCTTCTAGGAACCCCCTGGGTAACTCTTCAGGGGACTCTCCATAGGAGTCTCCATCAGAATCTCCTCTGAACTCTGTGGGGGTAGGACTCTGTAGAAGACTCTCCTTTGAAGTCTCCGTAGCACTCTGCTGAGAAGAGTCCCCAGGACTTTCTGGCAGCCAGGTGAGGAGGACTGTTGCCACCACACCCTGCCTCCTCTTGGGGTCCAGCAAGGGGGACGTCCCCAACCACCACCCCCCGAAGGGACCAGTGTCCCCCAGCATCGTTACCACAGCTCAATCCTTGGGGCAGTGACCTTCTACCTCAGAGAAGCCAGGGAAGCTGGTTGAGGAAGGAGGTGCTGCTGGGGACATCAGGGATGTCAGGGACATTGGGAACAGTGTCCTCACTGTCCCCCAGCATCACAACTGCTGCTCGCTCCTTGTGGCATCCATCCTTCACCATGTGCTCAGAGAGGTCAGGAAGCTCTTGGAGAAAGGCAGTCAAGCTGGGGCTGTCAGGGACATCAGGGACGGTGGCCTACGGGCAGGGGCTTCCCTGGGGCTGCCGAGGTGGTCACCACTGCTGAAAAACCAAAGTCAACCCAACCCCGGGCAATGCAATCTTTCCTCTGGTTGGCCGCCCACCTGCGGGCTCTGACAGCTCCCAAACCTCACCTTTGGGCTGGGCTGAGGTTGTGCCGGTTGACGGAGCAAGGGTGGGCTGGCAGCAGGGACGCCGTCCTCAGTGGCCGCCTCGCCCTTGTTGGAAGTTTACAACAGCTTCTGGGTGCTGCCAGGAAGGGTGTGAAGCACAGGGGGGCCCTGCACCCAATGCTGAGCCATGGGGCAATGGGATGGTGGGGTGCCAGGGCAGGCAGGGATGTGCAGCGGGTAGGAGCCTGTGGCCAAACAAGAACTTCCATTTCTGGGCATCTTTGTCATGTCTCGTCACTGGTCAGTCCTGGAAAACCTCAGCTGAACAGGCCCCAAGCAGTGAGTGCCCGAGCACATTCTGCTTTGGCTCTGTGTAACTTGTGTGTCGGTCTGCATCTGGCTTTGCTTGCTGCCTGCATCTTTCTCTTTGAAGGGATGATCTGTGGGAGGTTCTGCAGCACAGACCTCCTCCCTCCATCGACTCATCAGAGTGTGCCTGCATTTGATGCCTGCTGTTCCACATCCATTCCTCTCAGAGCTGCAATCAGAGCCTTCATCCAGAGGAGAGCCTGTTCGCCTCGTGCCCTCACGAAGAAAATCTGAGAGCAGAAGGAAGAACCAGGCCTGATGGCGGACCCGACGTCCAGAAGTCGCAACTATGGGCCAGAGGTCAGTCCTGGTCTTGTTGCTGGGGAAGTGAAGCTCTGAGACGTTCACATGCCCCTTCCTGGGGAGCACCACTGGGGTTGTGCCAGGGGGGGCAGCCCCAGGCCTGGGGAAGGATGGTGGGGCAGCGAGTGGGCATCTTTTCCTGCAGGGTCTGGCAGTGCAAGGGGTACACCGACAGTTAGTGAGAGCTGCGGGGAGCCTTCCCCTGCACCCTGGCTCAGCCAGTCTCTGGGGGCGTCCCCAGGAGATGCTCAGACCCCAAAGGAGGCCGAGAAGATGTCAGAGGGAGCCGGAGTGCAGCAAGGCTCAGGCACGAAGCTTGGCAGGAGCTCCAGGGGCTGAGGCCGTGCCTCCACACCAACCAGGCCCCCCGCCTGGAGCTCGAGTGCCGCAACGGGGAGATGTGGAAGGGAGAGGTATCCTCCGACCCCGCAGAACCGCAGAGGGACCAGGAGAAAACACCGGGGGTGGAGGTGGAGCCCGCGCCCACCCCGGCCCCGCCGCTCCACAGGCCGCCCGCCCCTGCGCAGGCGCAGCACAAAACCGCTTCCCCCGCGCTGCCTCGGTACGGCGCCGAAAGGCTTCCCCCGCGCTGCCTCGGTGCCTCGCACAAACCCTTCCCCCCCCCGCCGCCTCCATCCGGCGGAGCGCGGCTTCCCTCGGCGTGAGTTCCGCCACCGCGCTCCGAAAAAGCCCCCCCCCCGCGCTGTCCCGGGCTCCCCCACGGAAAGGGGCAGGACTGAAAGCTGATGCTGGCTCCCTCCCCCCCGCTTCCCTTAGCAGCCCTTGCACAGCCCCACCCACACCGGGGCTCCGCACTCACTCTGACCCTCCTCTTCCTCCTCCCCCGCGCCGCAGCCCGGCCCCAGAGCAGCCCCCGGCAGCGGTGCGGGCAGGGGGCTGTAGCTTAACGCCGGTTTAAGCTCAGGCCGGCAGCTGCAGGAGCCTCCCCCCCAAGCAGGATCATCCTAGAGCTGGGCGACCTTTGAACCGCTCCAGACTAGGACTGGAGCGAAGCAGGAATCTTAACAGAGCTGGGCACCCCGCAAACAGGGGCTGTTCGAAGTGGAAGCAGGTGGATCCTCCCAAGCCTGGACTTCCCCTTACCGGGACCACTGGGATTCCCATGTTCCCAGCACAGCAATCCTCAGTGTCATCTGTTGACAGACCCACAAGGGACCCTAAACTGTGGAGCATCACCCCTCCCCTCCCTGGGGGCAGGGGATTGCAGCCACAGGTGGGCCCTAGCAGCAGGCAGGTGTGGGGTGGTGTGGGGGGAGCAGCAGCACTTCCCAGTTTTCAGCACTGAGGGCCCCAGCAATCAATTCTGACACGGAATTGTCACAACCAGCTGCCTGGTTCATTCTGGACCCTACTGAGGGACATGGTATAGCCGCACCACAAGCATCCTCCTACCTCCCGACCCAGTAAAGGGGGAGAGAAGGGGGCCATGGTGGTTTAATTCATTTTATTTAGACTCGTAAAGGTAACTGCGGCCCAGCTGGACCATGCACATGGGGCTGAGACCCAGTAGAAACGCAGCAGTAAGTCAGGAGCGGGGTGGGATGGGGGTGAGCTGCAGCGAGGCACAGTGCCCGGGCTACCAAGGAATGGTCAGTTACGAGGAGGGTTTATGAGAGCTGCCCGCAGTCGGTAATGGTGATCTTCTTGCTCGTTTTGCCATCTTTGGAGCCACAGCGTTCCATGGCCTCCACCACGTTCATCCCCTCCTTGACGCGGCCAAAGACAACATGCTTGCCATCCAACCTGCAGGAGAAGCAGTGGTCACAGCTGGCACCTGCCATTCCCACACCTGGCACATCACCTCCCCACTGAGGTGGGTGCCAGGGACCCCCAAGCTCGCCCTCCCACAGACCCCAACTCACCACTCAGTCTTGGCAGTGCAGATGAAGAACTGGGAACCATTTGTGTTGGGGCCAGCGTTGGCCATAGACAGGATGCCAGGGCCCGTGTGCTTCAGGATGAAGTTCTCATCAGGAAACTTCTCCCCATAGATGGATTTGCCGCCGGTGCCGTTGTGGCGTGTGAAGTCACCACCCTGCAAAGAAGTGGTGTTTCAGGTCACAGGCATGGGAGAAAACTCTTGAGCCAGATGCAGTGGCCCTGCAGAGACTGCAGGCAGGAGGCAGAGCTGCCTTCCCACCCTAAATCTGCCAGCACCCAACTCCTAAACCCACGCAAGCACCAGATCTCCTCACCCACCCATGCCTCCCTGCTGCGGAAAGAGCACCACGCACCTGGCACATGAACCCAGGAATGATTCTGTGGAAGCAGGATCCCTTGTAGCCAAATCCCTTCTCACCAGTGCTCAGGGCACGGAAATTTTCTGCAAAGGAGGAGGAAAACCACCGTGAATGGCTTGTTTTGTCTGGAGTTAGGGAGAGCATCGGGGTTTGGTGCAGCGTGGCCAGTGCTGCTTTACCAACCTGCTGTCTTGGGGACCTTGTCTGCAAACAGCTGCAAAAAGAGAAGAGGCGGTTAGTCAGGCTGGAGTGATGCCTAGCCGCTGCCCCCCTCACCCTGCGGGGGGCATCCCCAGACCACAGGGATCCCCTTCTCACTGCTCGAAGCCCAGGGACCCCATCCACGAAGTGGATCCCAGCCGTGCCTGCAACTAGAGAGCACTCCCCACCTCACACCTTCATCTGGAAGCTCTGAAGTAACAGACACGGCATCCCAATGATTTTAAATATGCCACACGTCTCAATGGGGCAGAACGTGCCTTCGTTCTGCTGGCTGGGTTTAAATTAAAAACCTATTCGACTCGAGCATTCCCAGGCAGAGCATATGCCGCCTCTAAATTACTTCAGGAGGATTTTGGGTAGTGAGCAGCCATCCGCACAGCAAGGCGCTACCGGGCGGGGAGCGCGCTCCCTGCAGGCTCTGCGACAGCCGCAGCGGTTGCCGAGGCACAGTCCCCAGCCATGCCAGGGATGCTTCACACCCCCGGGCGCCCGCTTCGCGGGGCGCTAAATACTTGGCTCTCGCCGCGACAATCCTGCGGCGATCGGGTTGCCGCCGCTGCTCTCGCTCTCCGCCGGCTTTCCGAAACGCGGGAGCGCAACGGGAGCCTCCGAAGCATCTCCCGGGAGGGGGAACGCGGCTCGCCCCGATGCGCCGAGCGGCGGCGGGGGCCACCGAAGGGCGGCCCCGTTCGGGTGGGGGGGGGGGGGAGGGACTGGGACAAAATGGCGGCGCGGGCAGCCGCAGCCCCGCTCCCGCAACAGGGGAAGCCGTCGCCGCCGCCCCCTCCCCCGCGGGGCGGAGCGGGGAAGCCCCGGCAGCGCGACAGGAACGCGAGCAGGCGGCGAGGCCGCGGGGTGGGGAAGTGGGGGTCCGGGGGGCGGGGGGGGTGCGGGGCGGCGGCGCTTCCCAGCCGCATCCTCCGCCGCACTTAGCCCGCGGCGGGACCGGGGTGGGGGTGGGCTGTACCGGGTTCTTTGTTCCCTCCCCACCGCTGCCGAGGTCGCGCAACCCGGGGCGCCGCCATCACACACACACACACACACACACACACACACACACATATTCCCCCCCCCCCCCCAATTCCCTCCCCGCGGGAGCCGCGGCCACGTGGAGGCGGCGCAGGCGCCCCCCCCCCCCCCTTCACACACACACACACCCGCGCAGGCGCAGTGCCCCCCGCGCCTCCCTCCCCCCACCCCCGGAACGGCCCCAAGAGCCCCGGCGAGGAAATGGCGGCGCCCCCTCCCCCCCCCCCCCCCCAGCAACACACACACACACACACCCCCCACCCCCCCACCTCGAAGGTGACGCGGCCCAGGGGTTCGCCGTTGGCGGCGATGTCGAAGAAGACGACGGGGTTGGCCATGGCGGGGCGGGAGCGAGGCAGCAGCGGCGACGGCTCCGGGCGGCGGGCGCGGCGCAGCAGAAGGAGACCAGCTGCCCGCCGCCCCTTATATACGGCCGAGGAGGGCCCGCCTCCCCCGCGGCGCCGCCCAACAGCCGCTGGCGCTGCGGCAGAGTGGCGGGGCAGGCGGCCAATCGACGGCGCCGAGTTTGAGGGGGGAGGGGGGGGGGAAGGGAGGGGGAAAAAAAAAAAAAAAAAAAAAGGCGGGGGCGGGCGGGGGGCGCGCGGGTCCGCCGGCTGGGCAGGGCGGGGCGCGCATGCGCGGTGCCTGCGTGGGGGGGGGCGCTGATGGGGGCTGGGGCGCCGAGCGGAGATGGGGGGGGGGGGGCGTGGGGGGCCGGGAACTGCAGCCTTTTATTTTGGGGGGCGCCTACCGCAGGGGCTGTGGGGAGCCCTGTGCTGCAGCCGGGCCCGGCTCCCACCGTGGAGGGACCCTCCGAGCCCCCCAGCCCTGGGCAGGGACACCCCCCCCCCCCCCCTCCCGCCATGCTGCTCGGGGCCCGCCGGCCGCGCTGCCGCCCTTACCCGCGGTTAATGATCGGTGTCGGCGGACACGGTTCACCGCCCGGGCCGGCTGCCCCCGCCCCGGCACCGGACAGGACCCGGCCAGTGTCTGTGTGTGTCGTCGTCCCCCCCCCGGGACCCCCAGCCAAGGGGGTGTTGGGGGGGGGGGGGGGGTGGCCGTGGGGCCGGTCCCTCAGCACGGTGACAAAGGACCGATGGAGACACGCGGGGGGGGTGGGCACTGCCCATTGACACGCGTGAGCCCCGCCGAAACGAAATCCTTTAATAGCCATCGATATGGAGACGGTACAGGGAGCTCGACAGCGGTGGGTGGGGGCCGTGGGGCAGTTGGTGGGCTGAGCCCCCCCCACCCTGCACCCCCTGGGCCGGGCACATATGTTACAAGGGGAAGCAGCGTATGCACATTTACACATGGGGGGGGCACGGGCCAGCCCCACAGCGATGCACTTGCCTTTAAATACGTGGTGGGAGGTATTGGGGGGGGGGGGGGGGGGAGGTGGGAAGGGGCAGTAGTGTTTCTACACTATGTACAGCCTTGTGCTTCTGGGGGGGGGGGGGGGGGGGGGGGCCGAGCCCATCCGTCTGTCCGTCCCATAGCGTCCTGTCAGGGGAAGCCCCCCTCGCTGGGGGCAGATCCCGGCTGTGCCGCAGGTAGGGGTCCCGCCAGTGCTGCCCCCTCCCTCCCTGACCCCGTCGGGGGGGGTTCAGTGAGGGCAAGGATGGCTCAGTTGTTCTCGAAGAGGGAGAGGAGGTCGTCGTTGCTGCTGCTGGGGAGGTCGGGTGGGCCCAGGTAGGAGAGCAGCTCGTCGGGGTTCGTCAGCTCAGGCAGGAGCTGGGGGTGGCAGCATGTGACAACCAGTCGTCCCACCCCGTCCCCCAGTTCCTTCCCACCCACTATATGGCAGCCAGGGGTCCCAAACCAGAGGCAGGACCCCCTCGCTGCCCCCCCCCCCCCCCCCCCTCCATCCCAGGGTACTCACATCGAGAGCAGGCTCTGAGCCATCTCCTGTGCCAGCCATGCCGGACGCTGGGGGGAAGGCGAGGTCAGCGGCGTGCACCGGGCCGGCGGGGCCCAGGGGGGGCCGTGCTGGCACGTTCCGGTGGTGCAGAGGCTGTGCGGGCTGGCTGCCCGGGGCAGGGTTGTGCAGCCCCGGTTGCATCGGGGGGTGGGACGGCTCCATCCGCCCCGGCGGGGGCAGCTGGCGGAGGAGAGTGGGGTGGTGAGACCCCCCCTCCACCGGGACCCCCCCTGGTCCCCCCACTGGGAGACGGGGGGGCTGGGGAGGAGCCCTCCACCCGCAGCCCAGCTGACCTGTGCCGGGAGAGGGGCTGCGGGGGGCTTCTCGGGGGCCAGGAGGCCAACAGGGATGTCAGACTGGTAGGAGATGGGGGGGGGTCCCGGCACAAAGTCACTCAGTGTTGGCGTGCCAGGGGCGCCAGGGGGGGGGAACGGCTCTGGGAAGCCCCCGGGTCCTGGAAAGCTGGAACCTGTGGGAGGAAAGGAGGCGACGGTGGGGGGTGGGGGGAAGGACAGGGACACACAACAGGGATGGGGCCCATTCCCATGGGTCCCCCCCGTACCTGAGGCACCGTAGTCAGCAGCGGCACCCGCCGGTGGTGGTGGCAGTGCTGGGAAGGGAGCAGAGCCGGGCCCCAGGGCCGCGATCATCTCCATGATATTGGGCAGCACCATGTGCGTGGGACTGAGAGTCCGGCACCGCTTCAGCGCCGGCCCCTCCGGCTCCTCCTTGATGTGAACATCAGGTTTGACCGGGACGGGTTTCCAGCTGCAGGTCGGGTCGATGGTGATCTCCTCATGCTCTGAGCTGGGGGTGGCAGGACAGTGGGGGAGGCTCTGGTTGATGGGGGTCAACTGCACAGCCCCCCTGGGGGTGGCATGGTGCTGGCCACAGAGTGGGGGACACTTACTTCTGGATGTAGATCAGGATGCCCAGCATGTACTGGTCCACCTCCAGCCCCTCCAGCAGCGCTGTCTTACTGCAGGGAGAGAGAGACAGGGTGAGGGTGGGGAAAACCCGCCAGAGGCAGGGAAACAGGGGCATGGCCCCCCTGCGGGGGGACCCTACTCACTTGCAGACAGGACACCGCCACGTGCCCCGCTCGCAATTGAGCTGCAGGTAGGACTCCAGGTCGAAGCACTGCAGGGGAGAGCGGTGGCTGAGCTGGGGAGGGGGGGTGCTGGGCATGGGGCAGGGGACACCCTGAAGCCCCACCACCACCACCACCCCTACCTGTATGTGCCGGCAGTCGTGGCCCCTGGCCGGGAGCTGGATCCTCCGGAAGGTGATGGGGCACTTGAGGGACACCTTGATGGCCGTCTGCTCCACGCCGTCCTCACCATTGGGCCCCGGGGTCCCTGGGATGGTCCCGCTGCTGAAGTTGCGCTTGACTGGGGGGGGGTAGGAGGGGGCCGAGGGGCACCAAGGGTCAGAAACGGGATGCCAAGATGGGAGTGGCACCATGGTGGCATCTGGCTGTGGTGCCCCATCACCCCCATCATGCTGCAGCCCTGACCAGGGCAGGTGTGTGTGTGTGTGTATCCCCCTCTCTCCATGCTGCAGCCCCCGCCCACCCTACCCCCCCCCCGCCTCCCCCAGGGCCCGGTGGGCTGGGGGTGCCGGCCACAGCGCTCACTTTTTGTGATGCAGTGCTCAGCGGGGAGCAGGCGCTTCTTGATGAGACCCTGCAGCACTGAGCGCACCGAAGGCCGGTGCACCAGCTGCAGGACGAAGAGGTGGGACTGCGGAGAGATGGGAGAGGCTGAGCCACGGCCCCAGCCACTCCCCCACCTCCCCCCCCCCCTCAGCCCCAGGACCCCCTCGGTGACTCACACAGCAGCAAGCGGTGACAGTGATCTGGATGGTGTTCCGGCCGGGCTGGCAGACGTGCTTCAGGTAGAGCGGCTTGTGGGAGGTCTTGTTGTCACCACGCTCGATGGTGAGTGGCGTGGCGTTGACGCTCACCTGCACAGAGGCTGGCCAGTTGGTGTTCATCTGCCGGTCCTCGTGGTGGTAGCACTTGAACTGCAGCTCCAGGTCAGGCCTGGCAGGGTGGACAGGGGTGTGGGCAGGGGGTGTGGGCAGGGGCCGTGCCCGCAATGTGAACCGCCGTGCCGGGGAGCACCGCATTGTGCCACACTGAGTAGCCCCCCCCCCCCCCCCCCCCAACCCCTCCGCCACACCCCACCTCATCATGAGGGTCTTGTAGACGGAGTCACGCAGCTGGAAGACGTGGTTGCTGACGGCCAGGTTGTGCTGCAGGCGGAAGGGCTCCAGCACCACGCCGTCCCGCACCGGGAAGGTCAGCCGCAGCTCCTCCCCGGGGGCCGGCCCTGCCAGGGACGCTGTCAGCAGAGACCCCCCCCAGCCACACCCTGGCTAGCCCCACTCTCTAGCTAGGAAGCCCCACCCTTCAGAGGTCCCTCCCACCCCAGGAACCCCCATCCCTGTGCTCTCCCCACTATAGACAGCCCTACCCCTACTTAGGAAGCTCCTCCTACTCATAGGCCCCACCCTCAAAGCAGAGGTCCCTCCCACCCCATGCAGGAAGCCCCTCCCACTCAGAGGCCCCATCTATGCCATAAGCCCCTCCCACTCAGGGAGGCCCCACCCCTCTTCAAGAAGCCCCTCCCACCAGACAGCCACACCCTACCCGTGCAGGTAGCCCCGCCCACTCCAGGAGGCCCCACCCTTACGCCAGAAGCCCCTCCCACCGATGCTTGAAGCCCCTCACACTAAGCCCCCACCCTTCTCACCAGCCCCATTCATAGTCCCGCCCCCTTCACCGAAATTCCGTCCCACTGCCCTCTCATTGGGCAGCACCTGCAAGGCCACACCCCCCCCGCAAACCCCTGGCAGTAGCCACGCCCCCTGTGCTGAAGCCCCTCCTTTTTCCTTAGAGTCCTCCCCACAGCACCTTATCCTTAAAGGGGCAATGGCCACTTGATTCCAGCAGTGGGGCCCATGCTGGGGTCAGGGGTGGGGGGTACCTCGACGATGTGCCACCCATCCCGGCTGCCTCCCCACCCCTGCCAGGGGCACCTACCCGAGGGGGACTGGTGCAGGGAGGTGACACTGGGCTTCATGTCCGGCAGGAAAGGTGACTTGACATCCTGACCCGGGGACACATAGGTGGGGATGCCGCTGCCCGGCGTCATGGGCGGTGTGGGGTTCCCGGCCAGCGGCGAGCTGGGGTACCCCGGCAGCGACCGGCTCGGCTGCGGAAGCAGCGCACACCCTCAGCACCCAGCTGGGCAGGCGCTGCCTCCCACCCCACCCGGTGCCGGGACTCACCCCGGTGACAGCCGCCTGGCTGTAGGTGCCGAAGCTGGTGCTCTGCCCGTTGAACTGGTCAGCCGGCTGCAGGAAGAAGATCCCCAAGGGCTGGCACCAGGGGATGGCAGACACCCGAACCCCCCATCCCGTGTCTGCTGTCCCCCCTGTGGTACCTTGTAATAGGGTCCGGCGTTGCCCGAGGCAGAGAGGTACTGGCCCATACCTTGCTGCAGCCTGTGGCCAGGGTAGGAGGGGGACGGAGCGGAGGGCTGGGGGGTGCTGGGGGTATACTGGGCACCAGCCGCAGCGTACTGCCCGCCCTGGAGGTACTGCTGCGCCGGGTACCCCTGCAGGGCCGCGGGGGTCAGCGCCAGCGGGATGGGGGGGCGGGTCCCAGCACGCCACAGCCCCTCCGCCCGGTGTGAACGCTCACCTCATTGGAGTATGCCCGCTTGAGGCCCTGGCGGGGGAGCTGCTGACCTGGGGGGGGACCGGGGTAGGCGTGCTGGGGCATCCGCTGCCCGCCGTACAGGGGGCTGGTGCCGGGTGCCCGCGCGGGGCTCATGCTGACAGGGGAGATGCCGGAGGGAGCCATGACGCCTGCCATGCCAGCCGGGCTCATGCCAGTGGGGCCGCGGGGTCCAGCATGGGGCAGGAACTGGCTGCTGAAGGGCTGCCCTGCGCCCATCTGCAGCAGGGAGAGAAGGGGGGGGGGGGTGTGGGGGGTGTGGGTGTCACGGTGGGGTGGGGGTGGCCACTGGATCCCCAGCTCTGCCGCGGCCGGGCTCTTACCGCGCCGTACTGGCTCAGCTCCTGGCTCTGCTTCTCCTGCAGCGCCGCCACTGTTGCCGTGGCCGTGGCCGTGGCCGTGGCGGCAGCGGCGGCCACGGCGGCAGCGGCGGCTGCCTGGGTGAAGTCAGCGGGGGGCCGGCTGGCATGCGAAGGGAGCCCCATTCCGCCGGGGCCGCCAGGGCTGCCAGCGTAGCTGGGGGGCAGAGAGGCAGGGAAGGGGGGTGTGGTGGACCCACAGTGGGGTGAAGCCGGGACAAGGGGTTGGGGGGGACGCAGGGCCGGCCTTACCTGGTGGCGAAGCCCGGCCCGCCCGGGTAGGCGCTGCGGCCATAGACACCTGGCTGCACGTAGCCCTTCCCGGGAGCCCCCTCAGCAAAGGGCTGCTGTGGCAGGAACGGCGGCGAGCTCATGCCCGAGCCAGTGCCAGCCATGCCAGGCAGCAGCGGGGTGCTGGAGCTGCTCCCCCCAGGGCCCATGGGGCTGCCGAAAACCTGGGGGTACCAGGGACAGGGGTGGGTCAGGCAGAGGGCAGCTGTGCCCGTTTGCAAGGACACACACACACACGGATGTTCCCGGCGAGGGGGGGGACACAACGAGGATGCTGTGGGTACCTGGCTCTGGGAGGTGTTGCTGACACCCCAGACGGTGGTTACCACGGAGAGGGATCCTGCCGGCTGATTGGTGCTTGGTTGCCAAGGAACAGCCTCATATGCAAATGAACCATCACTAGAAAGAAAAACAAATTAATTAAGATGAAGGACAGAAAGACAGAGGCCACTGGCCAGGGCAGCTGCGGGTGCAGCCCCAGGGTGCTGGGGGTGCTGGCACTCACCCGTGGGGCGTGGGTGGCAGGGAGGGTTTCATGGGGTTCATGGAGTTCATCGGCGGCGGGCGGGCGCAGGCTGGGTCTTCCGAGGCCGTGGCAGGCGCTGCGGGACGGCGTCACCGTCACCGGGGCTGTGGGAAGCAGCGGGTGAGGGGACAGCCGTCCCCGGGGGGGGGGGGCCAAGGGACCAGGGATCCCGGCGGGGCCGCAGCTGGGGAGGGGGCAGGCCTGGAGCCTGTAGGGGCCCCCCCGGGCCGCTGGCACCGGGACTGGGCATCCTGCCCGTGCCTGGCTCAGGGCACCGGCCAGCATGCGCCCACCCCCACCCCCCCCAGCCCTGCCGCGGGGGTGTCCGTGGTCCCCCGGGGAGCCCCCCCCCCCCCCCCCCGGTGCCAGCCTACCTCGGCTTCCCCCAAAAATCCCCGCGGGCGCAGACACCATTCCCCCCTCCAGCGCCGCGGTTGCCGTGGGCTTTCCCCCCCACGCCTGCGGGTGGAGGGAGTGGTGGGGACTTTCCGGGGCGAGACCCGGGCGCGGGGGACCACGACGCCCTTTCCCCCCCACCACCCTCGGCAGCGCCACTCGGGGTATTTCCAGCCCGGCCCAGCAGCCGGGGCCGGGGGGAGGCGGACACGCGTGGGGTCACCCCGGCGCTTTCCGTTCCCTCCGGGCCCCGCGGGAGGGCGCGGGGGCCGCTCCGGGAGATGCCACCGCGGGGCCACCAGCGCCGGTTCCCTCCCCCCTCCCCCGGCAGTGACAGTCCCCCCCTTCCCCGGCCGCGGGCCCGGCGGTACCGCGGGGACAGGCCCCGGGGCCCCCCCCCATTGCCATGGCAACCACCCCCCCCCGCCGGGCACTGCGCGGAGCCATTTTCAGCCGCGGCGAGAGGCTGCGCGCAGGGATCCGCCCGGCGCTGCCCGCACTCACCGTCGCGAACGGCCCAAAATGGCCCTGGTGGAGCCGGGCGCGCGCGGCTGCGCGGAAGCTGCGCGGGATTTTCAGCCCGCGCGCGGCCCCGGCTCCATAGCGGCGGCGGCGGCGGCGCGGGGGGGGGGGGGGGGGGGGGGGGCGGGGCGGGGCGCGCGGGGGCGGGGCGGGGCGCGCGAGGCCGAGCCGAACGGAACCGGGCCAAGCTCGCGCAGCCGCCGCCGCCGCCGCGCACAATGGGGCCGCGAGCTCATCAGTATGCACGGGCCGCCCCGCCCCGCCAGGCGCGGCCAGCCGAGCACCGAGCGGAAGAGCGGTGTAAAGGGCTGTGCGGGGGGGGGGGGGTGGGGGTGGGTGTCGTGCGCGTGACCACCCGTGTGTGAGCAGGTGTGACACAGCGTGTGCGGGGAGGGGGGGGGGGATGCGACACGCGCGCGTGGCGGCGTGACAGTGGCCTGTGACAGCGGGGGCGGGACCCGCGTGCGTGACGCTGCGTGAGCGGGGTGTCCGCAGGGCCCCCACCCCCCACCGTGTGTGAGCGTTTGCGCGACCGCACCCCGCCGGGAGAAGCTGCACACGCGTGTGCAAACACCCGTGGATATGGGGGGGGGGGGGGGAAGGGGGACGCGGCGCACACCCTCCCGCCCCCCCCCCCCGGCCCACAGCCGAAGGAGGACGCGGGTGGGGCCGGGAGGACTCGGTGTTTATTTGGGAAGCCGAAAGCAAAGCCCTGGCCGGGACCCTCCCGCCGGGACGCGGCGCCCAGCACCGGCCGAGCGGCCGCGGGGGCTCGGGGCTGAGCATGACGGTGCTCCCCGGGAACAGACGAACTGCCCCACCCGTGTTCTGGAAGCTGCGGGGGGGGCGGGAGAGGCAACAGCACCAAACCTGCCTGAGCCCTGCGAGGGGGAGCGGCCACGCCATCTCCCACCCCCCAAGAGGGGCTGCAGGGGCAAGCGCGACGCCAGACTGGAAGGGACTGAGAGGAACTGGACCCGTCACACCAGCCACCCCCAGAGACTCGCCCTGGGGACCAGCCCCTCCTGGGGGGATGGGGGCAGTGAGGGTCTCACCCGATTTGGGGGGGCGGGGGGTGGGGGGGGTGGGGCGCAACTCACATCCCCTTGCCTGACTTGCACAGACGCTGGCCCCGGCACCAGCCACACAAGGACTCCAGGCGCCAGCGTGGGGTTTTACAAGGTCTGTAGTTAAGGAAGGAGGGAGGGGAGGCGACAGACAGACGGACAGACAGACGGACGGGAGCATGCTGCTGCCGCCGGGCTGGCGCTTAGGCCAGGTCCTTGAAGGCGTCGAGGTTGAAGGCCGTCTCGAGGAGCCGCTGCAGTTCCGTCAGGTGGGTTTTCTTGTTGCCAGTGGCGGGAGCAGCCGCCGGTTCCCGCCCTGCGTACCTGAGTGAGGTGGAGAAGGTGGGAGGGGGGTGAGGGGGGGACTCGGCCCCGCCCGGACCCCTCCCCAGCATCACGGGCACCCCACCCCTGCCCAGTTCCTACCAGACGGGCTTGGCACGGTTGATGGTGGTGCGGAGCCGGGGTTTGACGTAGTCGTAGTAGCCCTGGTTCTTGTGCTCCTCCTGGCACCACACCAGCTCAGCAGCCGGGTATTTCTGGGCTTCCCGCTGGAGGAGGTCGAAGGGGAACGGGGAGAGCTGCGGGGGGGGACACGGACCAGCGTCACGGGGGTCACAGCACCCCCGGCTCCCAGGCTCGGAGGCAGCCGGACCCCACTCACCTGCTCCACCCTGGTGATGGCCACGTCGGCCTCCATCTGCCGGGCCTTGCGCTCGCGGGTCAGGTCGTAGTAGACCTTGCCGGTGCAGAACAGCACCCGCTTCACCTGCTCAGGGCTCTGGGCTGCGGGGCCGCCGTCGGGGATGACACGGAGGAAGTGAGTGCCTGCCAAGAGAGGGGACAGCACCATCAGCCGCAGCAGCCCGGGGCACCGCGCTGGCAGCTGCCTGCACCCACATCCAGTGCCAGCCCCTCCTGAGACTCCAGCCTGGGCTCCAGCAAACCAGAGAGGCAGAGCCAGACCAGCTGGTACTGGGTCCAGCTCCCACTACAAACCATCGGGGTCCTGTGACACTCGGGACTGTCAAACCCTGGCCACACCACTCCGGCAGGAAGGGGCTGCCAGTGGAGGAAGCGCCACAGCAAACCCTGGAAAGCCGAGCCACGTCTCTCTCGGATGCCAGACCTGGCACAGACAAGGGGTGGCTCCAATTTTTTGGCTGCAGCTGGCAGAGCCCGGCCACAGTGGGGGCGAGCATGCCGCCTCAGTGCCAGAGGGGAGCAGGGCAGGAGGAAGGCAGCCCACATGCCATGCTGGCACAGAGCTCCCTGCACGGGCCGTCTGCGATGCCAGTAGCGTCAGCCTCGCTCGGCCGCTCTCCAACATGGGGAGGCTGCTGCCAGGTGGATTTTACCCGAGGTGGCTGGCTCCTGCCCTTCACCCTTCATCCCACAGAGCGGCACGGTGGGAAGCGGACACCTCCATGCTGCTCGTACCTGGCAGCATGTCATCGAAGCTGGAGCGGGCTTCAGGGTGGCGCAGCAGCGACTTTGGAGTGAAGATTATCAGCTGAAGGGGGGAAGAGGCAGAGCAAAGTAGTCAGCCTCACCACAAACACCTCCCCTGCAAGCAAAGGCCGGAGCACTGATCTGCCCGTCCCGCCTGCCCTCCCCTGCCTGAGCACAGCAGCAGCTACAAGAGATTTGCTCCTCGCTTGGCTGCCGTGCTCTGCCAGACGGGGCACGGATTTCTGACAGCACCAGCTTTCCTCCGGTGAAGAGGCTGGGGTGATGCCGGGGACCTGCCTGTCCCACAGCCAGCGCTGAAGGCAAGCAGCTGGACCGGGTTATTTACCGATGCCCACCAGCCCTGACGTGTTTCTCCCTCGCCGTGGAGTGCAAGAATGGGTTGCAGCCACCCCAGCCTGGACGAGCTGGCCGGCAGCATGCCATGTGCCGAGCCAGCCCCAAGCACCAAGAAGTCCTTGGCCCAGACAGAGGCAAACTGCCCATGTTTGCTGCCAAGGTGCAAGAACAAGTGCACTCCAGGTCCCATCCCCAGGCTGGGCAGGGACGGGGGCTACCCTGCCCCGGCACCAAGCTGGCTGTGGAGCTGCTGGCACTGACCGGTTTGCGGAAGGGCAGGAGAATCTGGCGCCGGAGGACATGGAAGAAGTTGGCTGGAGTGGAGCAGTTCACGACAATCCAGTTGCAGTCGTAAAGCTGGCGCACATCGAAGTCGTCCAGTTTCTGCCTCAGCGGTTGAGGGGATTTCAAGAAACGTAAGGTGCCTCTTGACCTCACCACTCCAGCAGTGGGGAGAAGAGCAGCACCCAGTCCTCCCTCCCTCCCTCCTTTCGCCCTCACAGAGCTCATGAAGACACAAAGAGACCTGGGAGAGGCTGTGGGTCTGTGACCCCCACCTTGGGGCAGGCATAGGGGCGGCCAGCAGCCCTCATCCCACGCCAATTTCAGGGTCCCCTCTGCCCCGGTGCAGCAGCCTCAGGGGCAGTGGAGGTGCAGCCCCTTTCCCCAACCCCTCCCAGCTGCAGTGCAAGCCCAGGGTGTCCCACACCTCCTGCTATCGAATTTGCAACACCCACCCTGACTGTAGAGCTGCACCGAGCCCACCCAGGTGTGGCTCCCTCCCCCCCTCCCCATTTCAAGGCGGCAGCCGGATCCAGGACACAGCAAGGCCGGGCTGAGCTCAGCGCAGCTGCCACTCACGGGGAAGACATCAGGATCGTCGTTACACATCTGCAAGAATCGCTCCGGGCGGGCGGAGGAGTGCTCAGGACCCTGCCAGGACCAAGCAGGGGGGAGAGTGAACGGAGGGGCAACGCTGGCACGAGAAGCTGATGCAGGGCACTGCCAGCCTGCTGCCCTCGGCTCTGCTTCTGGTGCAGACCATGCAACAGGCACCCCTGGGTGCCTGCGAGCTGGGGAGGTCCTTACCATGCCCTCCATGCCGTGGGGAAGCAGCAGCACGATGCCATTCTGCCTGACCCACTTGGCCTGCCCAGGACAGATGAACTGGTCGATTATGCACTGAGCGGTGTTGTGGAAGTCCCCAAATTGGGCTTCCCAAAGCACCAGGGCGTTAGGGCTGGCCATGGCAAAGCCTAGCTCGAATCCTGAGGAATGGGAGAGAAGCGAGGGAGTTATCTTCCCAGAGTGGCCTCACCCCCCGGGCAGCAAGCACAGACCTCCTCACGCACCGAGGACACCGTACTCCGACAGAGAGCTGTTGCAGACGGTGTAAGGAGCCTGATTGGGCCAGAGGTGGTTCATGGGGATACAGGTCCTCTTGTCCACATTCTGATCATGCAGGACGTGGTGGCGATGGCTGGAAGACGGGAAAGCGTTACCCCACTGTTACCCTTCAGATCCCTTCTGGAAAGGCTGGAATCGCCTTTACAGCCACCAAAAGCATGGCCTTACCTGAACGTCCCCCTCTCAACATCCTGGCCACTCAGGCGGATGTGGATGCCCTCTTTGAGCAGGGAGCCAAATGCCATGTACTCTGCCAGGGCCCAGTCCACCGTCCGGTTCTTCACCATCTCCCCGCGGGTTTTCAGAATACGGCTCAAACCTGCCGGGACAGAAGCCGGTTCGTAGCCAGCGGCAGGAGAGAGCTCCAGCAACACTGTGTTTGTTCCACAACCTGCCCACAGACTGACAGATTGCCAACGCCCAGGGGCAGAGGAACGGATCCACCTCTGCCAGCGGGATGAACCACGGACAAGGAATCAGGACTGCAGTGAAGGATCAGCTCCGAAGAAGAACATCCCTTAACC